GATATTAATAAACCGAGGCACTTAGCTTTGATGCAGTTTTAATATATTATCAATTAAGTTTTAATAACTGAAAGTCCTAAAAACGTATTTACTCATAGAAATGATTTGAAATGGGCTTTAATCTGGCCAAGACTGCATTATTTGGATTTAGTAACTTTTTTTAGACTTCATTGCCTATGTGATTAAGTTCAAGCTTGCTAAATTAATTGATTTGCCTTTAGTTTGATAAATCTCGAGCTCCAATAATCATTTCCATAAAGAAAGTTCAATTGTTAAAACGGGGAAATTTGGTTTTTAAGGTACTCTTTAACCTTATGTTAAACCAAACATAGAATTTTCAAATGTATTGATGTTTAACCAGTCCAGTAGCTCATTCTGTATACGTACACTTTTTCGCATTCCCTTTGCTATTTATGGCTCAAATTTTGCCATTTAGGATATTTTATCTTAACGGTTTCACCCAAGCTCTCGTAATTATAAGCTTGAATGAATTTTACAAACAACAGCAACAAAAAGACAGGTAAGCGTTATAATAACCAATAATTCTTTCACCATGTATGGTTTTCTCGTTCCAGTCATGTCTCCGTTTATTTAACTTGGTCCACCACAGCTTTGTGGGCCGATGTGGTTCAGCCCTGTCGTCGGGGCTTCAACCACAGCATTTTATTTAAACAAACTTCAGGGACATTAAAATCCGCCTTGTCTTTTAGTTTTCCAATGTTGTTTAGTAGAGATAATTTTAAGTAAAATGCAATACCAAATAGTATTTTTGCACGTGATGGTGTCCAGAAACTAAACTCTTGAAATTAATACTGCATTTAATGTTTAGTTGAAAGTTTAGGGAACTATTTGGGATAAAATATGCCCTTAAACATGCGGTTCTCCATACTTGAATGTCACTTTTTCTTCAGTTATTCCATAATAAGGACTGAGAACATTTACAGTCAACTTTAATTAATCGAATAATTGCGGGCTAAGAAGAAACACATGCATTATCGATAGTGCTTTAATTGACAGTGCCACTAATCTCACTATTTCCCGAAGACCTCATGAGAAAGTATGTCACTTCCTAACTGTCCACATTTGCGCCTAAGAGCGCCTAGAAACATTAATCTTAGGAAATATTCTAACTGCATATTTTACCAGGATACCTGTACTGTCGTTTTTAGCTTACCGTCTCTTACATTCTGAACAGAGCGAAGGAGCAAAATCACGTCGTGTATAATAGTACATATGTGCAGTTAACGCTTATTAAAAGAACGTGAGCAAGTCTCGTCCACATGTCGATCAAATGTCGCCGATTGTCCATTGCAGTTGTCGTTAGATATTCGCTCACGTACTCTGATACGAAAGACTTGGTTGATCAAATGTAAATAAGTCGTCATATTTGCTATCATTAGTCTCCGATTATTACGGAATGTCAACCACCACAGTTTTAAGGTAGTACTAGCAAAGTCGCTAAACAGGCATTTTACAAGAAATAAGTTAACATTAACAACTGAAATACAAGCTTGCATATTTGAATTGGGCTGACTTTAATCACCGTCTTGGTGCTTGAAAACTGTTCCACTAACTTATCATTACAACGTTTAAATAAATCTTTCTTAATATTTATGTGTCAGCGTTGTTTTTAAAAATTTTTTTATCCAATATTTGATGATTTGGAAAAGAACTTTATTTGAAAAGTGCTTGAAATACATATTCCTAATTTCCTATTCAGCAGATTGCGTCTTAATTGAAAAAAGGCTGGATCCTAATAGTGATGAAATTAATTATAATTGAATACATGAACTAAATAAAACAGGTGACCTAATTATCGACCTGTGTTTGCTGCAAATCTTGATGCGACTCCTACCTCCGATATCACGAGAAAATCACTTCACAGGAGCATCACAAGGCTTTACTCCATTGGTGTTGACACAGAACTTCTTATCATAGTTTAAACCTGTATTTTGTAGTTTGTTAATGTTTTTTAAATTTTGACTTCGATTCTGGACTGACAAGGACATAATTTATCACGATTCTACCAACCTACATGGGTAGGAAACCAATGGTTCATCCCTCAGGTTGCCAGACCATCAAGGCTGACTGCCAGGCATGCTAATCTGATGTATTCTAGATTACCGTGTACAAATGCAGAGAGGGCTAGAGTGGGGATAGGTAGAGGTTGACCGTTAAGAATTTTTTGTGTTTTCTTCGGACACACGTGCGTGCCTTGAGGAAGGCTGGCTGATGGAGGAGAACAGGAGGTTAAATGCGGGCAAATAACTCCGATCAACAACGAGTTTAAAGAGGTCCGATCATGCTCACTTTCACCTGTGAGGTTTATTACGATTTTTTTAATATTAACGTGATGAGAATTACAAAATGTTTTCATCAATATCGAAGTATTAAAAAAAATTCCAGGAAGTTGGAAGTGGTTTTAAAGGAACCACCGCGTTAACTGGTTGTTAAGTGGCGCTGTGATCAATACAACGAGTGAAGATGAAAGCTGGCAATGTTTTTTGAAAAGAGTCTGCAGTCCGCATAAGCAACCTTAGTTCAGACTGATAACTTGGCCTTTCTCAGCTGCACAAATTGCCACCACGATGTTTAATTAGATTTGTGACTAAGATACCAGGTCGCAATCTTTGTTTGCGTTAGCAGACTCCACTCGGACTTTTAAAGAGTGTCATCAATTATAACTTAAAGTGTATTGATCGTTTTTGGAAACGACTTGTTAAAACATAAAATGGCATGAAGTAAAGTATTCCTTTTTAGGCAAAGCTAATTATTACTTTTCAAAAGATGAATAGCAAAAAACTATAACTTTTAAACCGATTACTGCGCTTCACCAATGAAAACCTTGTTTTCTTATACTTTATAGCATGGGAAACTAATTATAAAGATATTATTAGAGGCATTTAATTCTGGGATATCCTTAGCAGCCAAAACTATCAAGGGCTTCAACTGTCCTTAGCTCACTGTTGAAGGTCCCACCACGTGGTCTTGAACTACATTGGGTCCGCTGAGTTGAATTTGGCCAGACTGATCTACGCAGATGAATAAGACCGGAATGGTGGAGACAGTTGTTTGCAAGATTGCTCAGCCTAGTTGTGTCGTTGTCGTGCGAGTGCATTAGAGGTGGCTGTTGACCCTTCAGACTGGGTCAAACAGACAGATGGAACGAGTGCAGGCGCAGGGGTGCTTGCGCTGACGGTCCCGCATGGCTGGTGGAAGCGCTGTGAAAAGATGGGCGGCGCCTTGGAGAACACGGCGACCGGGTTGATGGCAGTGGATCCACACGATTTACTACCTACTCATCCTCTACTTCACTGACTGTGACAACGAAGAGGTGCAAGTCAAACGTGTTTGGAAATAGAAGGTGCAAAATAATTTGAACAGTTCACGGTGTAGTAGTCTTCTTAAATGATAATACACTGAAGAGCCAGAAGAACCATTAACTCACCCTTACCTGTTGAGCTTTTTCTTTTAAATCATGTATGAGTTACTGATGTTCTCATAGACACATATTTTTAAATAAGTCGTGTTTTAACACCGAATCCATTTTTAAGAAGACTAATTATTATCTTATTGTATTCTGACGGCAACTTGTCTCTGTCCCTTTTAAATTAGTAAAAAATCGTTAACAAATAAGCATGTGGTGGAATGTGAGCGTTTAGCTATGAGAAATAATTTCATTAAGGTATTTGCACGCCTAACCTTGCGATAAAAGGGAAGATCGCTAATCTAACTTACCTTAATTACCAATCGCCTGATTGATGCCACCAAAAGCGAATGCATTTTCTGATGTCCGCTTCTTTCAAATGAGAAAAAAACAGTCAAAATTTGCCAATTTCGATGTTATTCTTTGTTAAAAATGCTTGATTTTTTAATCAAAATCTAGCGACAAAGATGGAATCGTAAACCAAGGCACTAGAGTTGAAATAGGTTTTACTTTGGTTATTTCTACTACAATTTTGATAATTTTATCACAATTTAACACCTAACGCAGATTTTGCCGAATGGATTTGTCACAGTTTATTGCGCAGTAAGAATTGCCCTTTATATTTGGGATGTTTAATGTTTTTTTGGGTTTCCTCACGCTAAAATTGACAGAAGTAGTTTGCTAGGACTGCCAGAGGCGAGGCAATTAAGGCTGGGCAGATTTCACTTCAGCCAACATACCAGGCAAGGATTTACCCTTAAAGTACGAAAAATGAGCTCTTCGGTAAAAAAAATAAAACTTTTGTAGGTGAATGAAAAGAGTCAAT